CAGGGAGGGGGAGGGGGAGGGGGAGGAGAAGAAGAATGGATTTGTCCAGGCTGGGTGTCGTGCCCATGCTCAAGGCTGACGACCTTCTTTGGCACCATCTCTGTATCTTGGGGCCCAGATGTGCAGACACAGAGAGGTGCTACAAGAAATGCCCTTGCCCCATGACTATGCCAACAGCCCCCACGCCGGTGTGACAGCAACCTCCTGAGCACGTTTTTTGTTGGTGGTGATGGTACAGGGACTGAACTCAGGGTCTTCACACTGAGCTATAGTGCCAGCCTTTTTTTACTTTTTATTTTCAAACAGGGTCTCACTGAGACACTAATTTGTCCAGCTTGGGGTTAAACTTGCAATCCTCCTGCCTCAGCCTCCCAGAGTTCTGGGATTACAGGCTTGTGCCACCATGCCTTACCTAGCACTGTTTTATTGTTGTTTTTTGTTTTTACACCTGGAATCAAACTCAGGACCTTGCGTTTGCCAGGCAGGAGCTGTGCTGCTGAGCTATATCCCCGGCCCAGCACAGTTTTTAGACATGGATTAACCATGGCTTCTAAGGAGTCCCACAGCTGGGTGGTGTTTGAAGCAGGGGCTGCAGAGGCAGTGGGTGGAGCTGTCTCAAAGCCAAGTTCAGGGTCGCCCTGGAGGCAGGTGATGCAGAGAACAGTGCTGGCAGAGGGGCTGCGCATGACCGGAGGCAGAGTACTGAGCACCTTGGCTGGCCGCCAGAGCGGGCAAGGCCTCCTCACGCCCCTCACTGCGCCCAGTTTTGAGGGGTGATTCAGCCAGACTTGGACATCACTTCTGTCTGATTCCTCCACACAGACAGGAAGCCTGGCGTGGACGGGTCCGGGTTAAGCAGGCGGACAGGGGCCTGAGGGCCCCCCCCCCCCCGCCACCATTGAGTCACAGGAAGGGAATGGAAAGAGGGCGTGGGGAGGCCTCTCAGGACCTCACCTGGCTCTGGGGTGAGCTCCTACTGCGCCCTCGTTTCTGGAACAAATCCTCAGAGGGCTGTCCCGGGGGTGCACTCCCTGCCTCTTCTCCAGGGTGTCAGGAGGGTGGAATGAGGCTGGGTAAGCGGGAAGGAATGAAGTTAGCTCTCAAGGAGGGATTCCTGGCGCAAGCTGGGCGACACCGGCAGCCATTTCTCAAAAGAAATTGCAAAATCTTCCTTGGGACTGATCTGGGGCTTGGTCTGGAGCCAACCGGGCCTATCCATGCTCAGCGAACATCTCGAGTGGTAGACATTCCTCCCTTGACCAGGCTCAGGGACACCCCACCGCCCCTGCACGCCACGTGCCAGCCGCTGGAGACTTGAGCCGGGCCAGCCTGGCTCTGCTCCCTGCTGAGCCTCAGAGAGGCCTTCCCCAGCCTCCTTAGATCCTTGCGCCCTCCTCCAGCACCCGTGGGGCAGCCTTCTGTGCCAGCCACACTACCTCTGCTTTCACATCGGGAAGGAAATTATCAATAGCAAAGAGGACAACAGGTTGGTCTTAATATCCACATGACAGCAGCTTAGTGTTTGCAGCACCGACTCCCTCACTGTCCCAGGAGGTCGGTCCCCTGCACGGGGAGGAGGCCGAGGCCCGGGACCTCCGGCAGCAGAGCCAACACGCGGCAAGGCAGGGTCTGATCCCGGCAGTGGTGCGGCGTCTCAGGCACGGGCTGAGCGCTCTTCCTGCACCCTTTCACAAGTGTGGCCTCGTTTGCCTCCTGTAGGTCACTGCCAGCTGATAAGAAACCATGCAGACAGTCCTCGGAGTGGACAGAGATGCAAATCGATAATGCAGGGAAGGAAAAAGTATGTCGGGAATCAAAGAAAATGGTGAGACCCACTGGGGACACCCTGACTAGGCAAATGTTTTCGTGACTTATACGGAGGCTGGCCTTGCCAGGGCTGTTGCTGCCATGCTTCTGGAATGCTAGGACACAGCGGGCAGGACCTGTCACACACCCTGCCTCCCACCCGGGGCTTCCAGAGGTGCGGGTCAGGGCACAGTACAGAGGAGGGTGCAAAGAGGTTAGTCTCAGCATTGTTTACTACGGTAAAGAGCAGAATACACAGATTCCAACCAGGTGTACTGCCGAGGAAGTTGTGGACAGAATACTTAGGAAGCCATTAAAAGTGATACTTTTTGTTGAGGAGATACAGGAAAACGTTCATAATGGCCTTACATGAAAAGGGAAAGACACTTTCACTGAAATGTTTTTTGTATATTTAAACGTTCATTATATTTTTAGATCATACCTGGTATTAATGAATATGACCAGCCCAGAAAGACATCAAGATTCAAAGTCTGACATCTACTCCATTCATGTTGCTTTCACATTATCATAATGTTGAAAAATTATAAAACAAACCATAATTTGTGAACCAAAACGTAGTATATTTTTATCTGTAGTTTTCATGTTGTACATTAGATGTCTAACTTGTTTGTCCTGGGGCTGGGGATTTAGCTTAGCTGCAAAGCGCCTGCCTGGCAAGCGCAAGGTCGTGAGTTCAATTCCTGGTACCGGAAGAAAAACAATAACTTGTGTGTCCTACAGATCTGCTACTTTGTATCCTTTGACTAGATCTCTTCATTTTCTGGTAACCATTGTTTTTAATCCCTATGTGTTTACTGATTTTTAAATTTCATACATAAGGGAGATCATTGAATATTTTTCTTTCTGAGTCTGGGTTATTTCACGTGGCATAATAAAGAGTTGAATTGGAAATCCTAATCAATTTAAACTTGCTTAAATTTCAGTAGCTGCATATAGCTAGTTCTTATAGAATTAGGGAATACAGATATGGGAGTTGCAGTTGTTTTTCTGTTTTGGTTTGGTTTGGTTTGATTTGGTTTTTGTTTGTTTGTTTTTTTGATATAGGATCTCACTGTGTAGTTCAGGCTGGCCTCAAACTCATGGCAATCCTCCTGCCTCAGCCTCCTGAGTGCTGGGATTTACAGGCATGCCCCACCACACCCAAGTAGGGAGCTGCAATTGAAGGAAAGGGAAGAGTATTTTTACAGCATTTTCACTGTATCAGGTAACCCTAACCC